TTAACTGAAAGAAACTGGAAAGGATTACATAGGACAGGGTTAAATGGAAAATGCTGATGGGCGGCCTATGCTCCTCGATGAGGGGTAACAGGCGTATGTAAGTAAGTAAGTAAGTAAGTAAGTAAGTAAGTAAGTAAGTAAGTAAGTAAGTAAGTAAGTAAGTAAGTAAGTAAGTAAGTAAGTAAGTAATTAATTAATTAATTAATTAAGTAAGTAAGTAAGTAAGTAAGTAAGTAAGTAAGTAAGTAAGTAAGTAAGTAAGTAAGTAAGTAAGTAAGTAAGGATTAAAGAAGTTTCAACGCTAATGTGTACAATTTTGAAAATGTATATATTCTATCATCAGTGGATGCGCATTGTTGATAAGTCCCATTTGTAGAATGAAACTGTCGTCCAATGCATTCAGGCTTTTAATGGTGGTTTAACTTGGATCAACTAGTGAATTCAACTATTAAGATTACTACAATCTCCACAAATCTCCATGGTGACAATAATCATGTGCACACTGGTGTATAACTTTAAGATGGATTTCTTGAAGTTCAACCATGAAGTATACTTTTTAATTTTATTTCATTGATAATTCAGTTATTATTAGAATGGATATTTGTGAATAACTCCGCCTGTAGCTCTTCTAGAGTTACTGCCGGTCCCAAGCCCGGGTAAAGGAGGAGGGTTGGGCATGGGGTTAGCGACCCCATCCCGTAGAAAAGCTAACTCGCTAAAAAAACGCTAACCAGAAAAAATAATCCAAACCATTTAAACTCTGCCCTGGGAGTTGAAGGAATAATGACGTCTCATGATGAAAGCCGAAATTCTTCGGAAGTCACGAGACCGATGCACCTTCTAACAACCAGAGCAACACTCTTTATAGGTACATGGAACGTCCGGACAATGTGGGAAACAGGAAAGACCAGCCAAATAGCAATGGAAATGAGGAGAAACAACTTGGCAGTACTCGGAATCAGCGAAACCCATTGGACACAAACTGGACAACAAAGGCTAGGTACAGGAGAGATGCTGCTGTACTCCGGTCACGAAGGGGAAAATGCGCCACACACTCAGGGAGTTGCTCTAATGCTGTCCAGAGAAGCACGAAATGCACTTGTGGGATGGGAATCTCATGGACCCAGGATAATCAAAGCATCATTCAGAACAAAGAAGCAAGGGATCACAATGAACGTTATCCAATGTTATGCACCCACCAATGATAGCAACGACGATGATAAAGATCAGTTCTTTGAAAGGCTGCAGTCAATTATGGAGAAGTGCTCACGAAAGGACCTCACCATCCTTATGGGAGATCTAAATGCTAAAGTTGGAGTGGACAACACAGGATATGAAGATGTAATTGGACGACATGGACTAGGAGAGAGAAATGAAAATGGGGAGAGACTTGCAAACCTATGTGCTTTCAACAAATTGGTTATAGGCGGCACAATATTCCCACACAAACGCATACACACAGCTACATGGATATCACCGGACCACACCACAGAGAACCAGATTGATCACATCTGTATCAACAAAAAATTCCGAAGATCAATGGAAGATGTGAGAACCCGAAGAGGAGCTGACATAGTTTCAGATCACCACCTGGTTGTGGCCAAGATGAGACTGAAGCTTAAGAAAGACTGGACAACTGGACAAACAGCACTACAAAGGTTTAATACAGCCTTCCTTCGAGATGCTGACAAGCTCCATGAATTCAAGATAACTCTCAACAATAGGTTCCAAGCTCTACAGGATCTACTTAAAGAACAAGAAACTACTTTGGAGGAAAACTGGAAAGGAATAAAAGAAGCACTAACTTCAACGTGTCAGGAGGTTCTTGGTCCTAAGAAGCACCATCACAAGGAATGGATCTCTATGGGGACCCTGGACAAACTTCAAGAAAGGAAGAACAAGGGACTGGCAATTAACAACAGCCGAACACGAGCAGAGAAAGTCAAAGCACAAGCAGACTACGCAGAAGCAAACAGAGAAGTGAAGAAAAGCATTAAAGCCAACAAGCAGAAATACATGGGAGAACTAGCAACGGCGGCGGAAAAAGCTGCAAGAGAAGGGAATATGAAACAACTATATGATACAACGAAGAAATTGGCAGGGAGATGTAGCAAACCAGAGAGGCCAGTCAAAGACAAAGAAGGAAAGACAATCACTGAGATTCAGGAACAGAGGAGAAGATGGGCAGAATACTTTGAGGAACTGCTGAATAGACCAGCCCCATCGAATCAACCGAACATCGAAGCAGCCCACACTGACCTTCCAATAGATGTCACTCCACCAACGATCGAAGAAGTCAAGATGGCCATCAGACAAATCAAAAGATCGTCAACATTATCCAAAACTCATACGATGGATTACAGTGCAAATTGGTGCATGGAGGACAGCTGACAGATGCATTTCCAGTAAGGACCGGAGTCAGACAAGGCTGTCTACTCTCCCCATTTCTCTTCCTTCTAGTTATTGACTGGATTATGACGAATTCGACATCTGAAGGGAAATACGGAATACAATGGACTTCTCAGAATCAATTAGATGATTTGGACTTCGCAGATGACCTAGCTCTCCTCTCTCATACACACGACCAAATGCAGATGAAGACAGCAAATGTAGCAGCAGCCTCCGCATCGATAGGTCTCCACATTCACAAAGGAAAAAGCAAGATTCTCAAATGCAACACGGAGAACACCGACCCAATCACACTTGATGGCGAAACTCTGGAAGAGGTGGAAACATTCAAGTACCTGGGGAGCATCGTTGATAAACAAGGAGGATCGGATGCAGATGTAAAGGCAAGGATTGGCAAAGCAAGGGCAGCATTTCTACAATTGAAGAACATATGGAACTCAAAACAACTCTCAACCAATTTCAAGGTCAGAATCTTTAATACGAACGTCAAGACAGTCCTACTGTATGGAGCTGAAACGTGGAGAACTACTACGGCCATCATCAGGAAGGTACAAGTATTTATAAACAGTTGTCTACGCAAAATACTCAACAGCCATTGGCCGGATACTATCAGCAACAGCGTTTTATGGGAGAGGACAAACCAGCTTCCAGCTGAAGAGGAAATAAGGAAAAGACGTTGGAAGTGGATCGGACATACATCAAGGAAATCACCAATGTGCATCACGACTCAATCCCTAACTTGGAATGGTGAAGGGAAGCGGAAAAGAGGAAGGCCAAAGAACACACTACTTCGGGAAATAGAAGCCGATATGAAAAGGCTGAATAGCAACTGGAAAGAACTGGAAAGGAAGGCTCAGGACAGAGTTGGATGGAGAATGCTGGTGAGCGGCCTATGCTCGTCGACGAGGGGTAACAGGCGTAAGTAAGTAAGTAAGTAAGTATTTGTGAATATTGAATAGTTGAATTCATGGATTGATATATGCTAGATCACTATTGAATATCTGGAAGCAATGGATGACCGATTTTTCTCAAATGTGAGATCGTGGATGAGCACTGCTGATAAGTCCCATTCTGGTAGGAAAAACCGTCTAGTGCATCCAGATTTTTAAAGGTGATCTATCTTTGATCGACTAGTAAATTTAACTATCAAAATTACTACAATCACCAAAACTCCAAGTCATGTGCTCAATAGTGAATAATTTCAAAATGAATTTCTAGGAGTTCAAGTTAGAAATCGTGACCAGTAAAGTCCGATCTCTGTCAAATTTAGAGGGCCATCCACTTCAGATAATGAATGAAGAGTTCAGGAAAATCATGAATTGATTGAAGTTAGACAATAACACCTTTGGATGATGGTTTTATGTTCTTGAGATTAAGCATTGGCATACAAGATCTAAGGTCCTGGGTTCAAATCCCACATGTTGGATCATAGCTCCTCACTGTGGAGGAATATCATGCTAGAATGAAACGGTCGTTGAGTGTTTCCATATTTTCACCGATGGTCTAGCTTAGATCGACTTATAAATTCAACCATTAATTTCTTTCCCTCTGTACATAATCTATCATCATTTTGAAAATAATAATTCATTGTAAATTAATCTATTTTATTGTTATAATAAATTAAAAAACTCAGTATTGTTTGTTTGAATCTTCTTATTGATGTTTAGGACTGCAACTTGTCAGTCTCTTATTGGAATATGTGCATACTGTGCGTATTGCCTCTATATAGCCTTAATTCACAAGCATTATAAGCAGAGATGGATTGTACCTAGCCACTAATCACAGCATACACATATGTCAATTAGAGACTGACCAGTTGCAGTCCTACACATCAATGAAAAGATTCAAAAAAAAACAATACTTAATGAATTTAAACTTAACTCTATTGCACAAGTAAGTTGCTTTCAGGACTCAGCAGCTAAGTGGATAACGTAATGGCATTTGAAGCGAAATGTACTGGATACAAGTCTCAGAGTGAATATCAACTCTGAGATGCAGGTACATCCAGTTAATGAGTGCCAAATAGGATAAAACGTACATCCTGGATTCCACTGATAGCCACCATCCATCTTTGCTAAAAAATTAAACAACTGTTTTTTATTACTATTATAGTAATAAGATTATATTTTACAAGTAATTAAGTAGTAGATAAATAGTAATAAAATTAATTTAACTAGATGTTTTTAAAAAAACATACATTTTTACTTAAAGTATTAAATTATCTCAAATGTTTTACACAAAAGTAAACTATTATTATTATTATTATTATTATTATTAGTAGTAGTAGTAGTAGTAGTAGTATTAGTAGTAGTGGTATTAGTAGTAGTAGTAGTAGTAGTAGTAGTAGTAGTGATATTATTATTATTATTATTAGTAGTAGTAGTAGTAGTAGTAGTGGTATTAGTAGTGTGGGAGGAGTAGGAACAGTAGTAGTAGTAGTAGTAGTAGTAGTAGTAGTAGTAGTAGTAGTAGTAGTAGTAGTAGTAGTAGTAGTAGTAGTAGTAGTAGTAGTAGTAGTAGTAGTAGTAGTAGTAGTGTGGGAGGAGTAGGAACAGTAGTAGTGGTATTAGTAGTGTGGGAGGAGTAGGAACAGTAGTAGTAGTAGTAGTAGTAGTAGTAGTAGTAGTAGTAGTAGTAGTAGTAGTAGTAGTAGTAGTAGTAGTAGTAGTAGTAGTAGTAGTAGTAGTAGTAGTAGTAGTAGTAGTAGTAGTAGTAGTAGTAGTAGTAGTAGTAGTAGTAGTAGTAGTAGTAGTAGTAGTAGTAGTAGTAGTAGTAGTAGTAGTAGTAGTAGTAGTAGTAGTAGTAGTTATGGCACCAATAGAAGTGGTAGTATGTGCAAAAATATTCTTTATTCTTGTCTTTATCATAACTCTAGCTAATGATTTAAGATTATTTTTAATGTAATTGTCAACAAGGAATAAAAAATACAGTTAAATAAATATGTAACAATAAACGATCAAATAGGGAATTACCAAAAAGATTGGGGATTATTTTTTTCTATTACTTACTTGATTACGCCTGTTACTCTCAATGGTAAATAGGTAGCCAACCAGCATGCTCAAACTCACCCCATCCTGGACCATCCTTTCTAGTTTTATCTAATCGTTGTTCATTTTTCTCATGTCTGTCACCATTTCTCGACGTAATGTGTTCTTTGATCTTCCACTTATCCTTCGGTATTGGGGATTCTATGTGAGGGCTTGCCTTGTGACGCAGTAAGGTGCTTTCCTCAATATGTGTCCTATACACTTCCATCTCTTCTTCTTGATTTCTTCCTTCACTGGATTCCGGTTTGTTCTCTCTCACAGTGGGTTGTTGCTGATAATGTCTGGTCAGCGGATCCGAAGTATTTTGTGTAGACAACTGTTAATAAGCACTTGTATCTTCTTCATAACCTCCTTCTTTATGTCGGCTTGGAACCGACAGTAGCCCTCGGAGGGGCTACAGGCGGAGTTTTACGATAAAATCTTTTTAATGCAATATATAGTAACATAAATTCGAGAAAACTAAGATTTCTGCATGTTTAAAGCGATATTTAGAAATTTCTTACTTGGTAGTTTATAATCCAACATTATCACATAACATGTCTATAATGAACGAGTTTCATGACGAACAAAGTAGTCAACTATATAACTTATTTTCACGTTTCGCGTTTCGTCCTAATAGGCACTCGTTAGCTGGACGTACCAGCATCTCAGAGTTGATGTTCACTCTGGGACTCGTATCCAGTACCTTTCGCTTCAAACGCCATCACGTTATCCACTCAACTACTGAGTCCTGATAGCCACTTGTTTGTGCAATGAGGTGAAGTTTAAATCCACTAACTATTATTTGTTTGAATCTTCCCATTTATGTTTAGGACTGCAACTGGTCAGTCTCTAATAGGCGTATTGCCTTGATATAGCCTCAATTCACAAGCATTTTAAGCAAAGATAGATAGTGGCTAGCACTTGAACATCAATGTGAAGATTCAAACAAACAATACTAAGTGAATTTATGAGACGGAACGTTTCGTGACATTTAGTAAAATTGGTTAGTTCAACATCAGCTATGAAGTGATATTTATCTATGGAGGAATAACTTACTTTAGTAATTAGTACATCTTTGTTCTGAGATTGAACCATTCAGATATCATTTACATCGGTTTCAGTGGAAAAATATCCTAACCGACTAGTAAGTTATGATATGGAAAGATGTCAAATAACAACAGAATAAGTAATAAATACTTATATTAAATTCATTAATTATCAGAAGGGGTTTTGTGAAGGTTTAGTATTTTCATAGTTGAAAGCGTGAGTCAATTCAAGCTACACCACCATCGAAAACCTGGAAGCACTGGACGGCCAACTCGTCCTATTACGGGACTCCTCAACAGTGCGCATCCGCAAACCCTCACTAGCGAGATTCGGACCCAGGACCTATCAGTCTCGAGCCAGAGCCCTTAACCGATAGATAACAAAGCCGGCATCCAACGGTGTTAATATCTAACTTCACCTGATCCACGAAGTTGAGCAACCGTTCACCAATTGTTTTCAGTGAGTTGATATCTCACAACAAAAGTGGTTTGAACTCCACTGGTCACTGTTTCTCACTAGAACTCCTGGATGTACTTCTCGAAGTCAGTCAAATCCATTAAAATTGTACATTAAGTTGTCCATTAAGTTGTACACTGAAGTAGTGCTACTTAGTGAAACGTTAACAACAATAAAGACTTACCTTTATAATTTTATTATGCCTTCTCTTTATATTTATGTATAAATATTATGTTTATATAGGTCAGCTGTATATTGGTACTTAAATCTAGTAATTAAAAATGTCTATTAAGTCGAGTAGAACACTGTTAAGCATCATTATATGCACTAATTGCTGTCATAATCATACACACATATACATATAAGATCATTCTAATTATGATCATGAATTGATCAATGTTAGACCATCATTAAAAACCTGAAACTATTCGACTGCCGTTTCGTCCTAGTATGGGACTACTCAGAAATGCAAACCTAAGATTCCATACGCAGGATTTTAACCCAAGGCCTTGGGCTTGTTGGTATATTTGCATCCTGTGCAAACTGCTTCGACATTGCCTGGAATCACAAGATTTATCAGTAAAGTGGCTATCAGGACTCAGTAGATAATTGAATTACCTGATGGTGGTTTAAGCGAAAAGTACTGGGTTCATGTCTTAGAATGAACGTCAACTCTGAGATGCAGGTACATCCAATTGACGAGTCCGAAATAAGACGAAACGCACCTTCTGGATTTTACTACTAACCACTATCCATCATGTTATAGTTGTCTATAAACATTTTATTCCACTTATATCCTTTTATAGTTTTAACCAAATGCATTTTAATGGAATACCCTGTGGTACATTTTGATTCTTTATTAAAAGTGACTTATAACAACAAGTTTATCTGTTATTACTCCTATTTTATAATAAATGAAAGGAAAGAACACAAGAAGTTATATGAATTACATCATTGGTATCTTTAATAAGGATTCAGTTGCACGGACTAGATCTCATTAAGAGTAGATACGAAGATTGATGCAGAATGATATGAATTCCCTAGTTGCTTTACAACCTATAATATTTGGAAATCAACGTTATTACAGATATTGACATACTTATAATAAATACGAAGGTGATTAGAGATGAATGTATGTATCATGATGTAATGATGATTCCAACAGAGTTCAATAGAGTCATAAAAACTAATATCTTTCTTAAGCAAAGATAAATAGTGGCTAGCAGTGGAATCCAGAAGGCGCATTACGTCGTCCATGGGAATCGTCATTTGGATGTACCTACATCTCAGAGTTGGTGTTCACTCTGGGACTCCAACCCAGTGCTGTTCTCTTGAAACGCCATCACGTGATCTACTTATCTACTGTATCCTGGTAGCCACTATCAATCTTTAGTTATAAAGCTTGTGAGTTAAGTCAATATCGAGGCAGCATTCCTCACAGGATGCACATATTCCAATATGATACTGATCAATTGCAGTCCTAAATAACAATGGAAAGATACCAGTAGGAAACATCAAGTGAACTATCTTCTTCTTTATTACCATTATTCACAGATTAGGTTCAAAATTTAAAGAAATTTAAAGAAACCATTCCGAATGTATAAACCTTTAATAAAGAACAACTTAAACTTGATCTGTGAAAATATAGAGAAAGAGCGTATGTAGATTGAATGAAGTCGGTTTATGGTTGAGACGAATCTCAACTATTTATTTTTGAAACCGGTCAAGATAAGAGAACAGCTTAAATATGATACATTATGAGCTATTAACCATTGTTGTTTGTACTGTTTGAAAGGCTCTGACCATGATGGGAAGATATAATCAAACAGTACTAAATGAATTTAAATTTCACCCCATTTGATAAGCAAATGGCTATCAGGACTCAGTAGGCGAGTGGATAACGCGATGGAGTTTGAGGCGAAAGTTACTGTACTCGAGTCCCAGAGTGAACATCAACTCTGAGATGCAGGTACATTCAGCTGACGAGTCCCAAATAAGACGAAACGCGCCTCCTAGATTCTACAGCTAAACACTATCCATCTCTGACCACGATTATTTTGATATATGTATCACTATTAGAAACATAGATTTATTGATAATGACTAGCTCATGTATTTTTAATAGACAATTTGAAAGAGATATATTAGCATAGAGTTATTTGAAACTGTAACTATATATTGATTTGTTATTTGTTAGTTCATTTAATAAAATGGCAGTTTTTCATTATCATATTTGAAAGCGTGAGTCAATTGAAGCTAGACCACCATGGAGAACCTGAAAGCACTGGACGGCCGTTTCGTCCTATTATGGAACGACTTAGCAGTGCGCATCCACGATCCCTCACTCGCGAGATTCGAACCCAGGACCAGCTAGTCTCGTGCCAGAGCACTTCACCAATAGACCACTGAGCCCGCTGGCATCCAATGGTGTTAATATCTGACTTCATTAGCTTACAATTGTTTTCTTTTTAAGTGAAACCTTTAGCTCATGTTATTAGGATTGTAACTATTCTTCAGTGGACTTTAATCCATAGTGATATAATTTTTGCTTGTAAATCTAGTTAAATATTGTTCGGTGGTCGGTATTCGGTATTATTCTTAAACTTCGTGTATTGTTGGTTGTGATAACCGTCACTAGATAACACTCCAACGGTGTATAAATCAGAAGGTGAACATAAAGTGTTGATTGCGTTTATTATTGAACCACGCATAAATATCCAAAATCACATGCACATTAAACAAGCATGAAAAAATAGTGCCGTAAAGCAGGCAAGTGAGCATGCGGATCAAATAAGCGAGCGAGTGGACGAGTCAACGAGTCAGTGAACAGGATTAAAATGTACATATATATACAGAAGGAAATGCCTGAATCATCGAATCAATTAACCGACTAATAGTAAGGTTAACAGAATGAATATTTATGCGAGTAGGCAGTAAGCAATGCTCAAGCATACATATCCATACAAGTGCAATAATAAAAAGGGTACAATGATATGGATAAGCAGTTATTGAACAAATCACTCTGTCCGTTAAATAAGTTAACAAAAGGGCTTAACCAAATTAAATATGAACAAACTCAATTGTACGTGATCTGATATATATCTCACTTTCGCGCCAAATTCTCTCACTTTTACCTAGTTTAATATTGTAATCAAAGTTTTATTCTCTGAGCTCGATGGTTTGATCAGAGAACAAAACTTCGTCAAAATCATCCACCTGAATACAACCCTTCTCCATCATTGTAATCAAATGAAGTTACTGCAAGCTCATGCAAATGTTTTGGTGTTAGACATGAAATAGGAATAATATATTTGTAAACTCTCAGCGAATGAATTT